CCCCCGCCCCCACTAGAGAGGTCTTCTCTTCTCCTCCTCTCTCCATTTCCCGCACGGCGCGGCGCTGCTGCGCTCTGCCCCCCTCCGATATTGAGTTATCAGTTTGTGAAAGCGCGGCACATCGCGAAGACAAGCCCCGCCAGAGATGGAAACGCTCACCTCCCCACCCGGCCAGCAGCAGCCCCTATCGGCCAGCGCCCCCCATCCCCACTCGGGGGGGCTGGCCGGGCTGGCCGTCCAATTCCTGGCCCCTCACGTACGTTACAAGGGCCGCGGGGTCAACTGTCGCCGAGGACTTTGCGGACTCCTGACCAAAAGTTTTGCCGGCGTGGCGTGGCGGCAGGGGACGTTCATCCGAGTCGTAACCATTTAGCGCCCGGCCCACATTCTCGCTTGCCCAACTGACGGCGCGATATTAGGTGGCCTTCGATTTCTCCAGCCGTGCGAAACGGAGCCGAGCGGAGGGAGAGCGGGAAGAGAGGGGGGGGGGGGAAATGCGGGAGATGCTGAGTGTCTCCCGGGGGATTGTTCCCCCCTCGGCGTCGTCCGTCCCCGGCGCAGCAGCGCAGCCACGCCTCCACCTTTCCCGAGGCCCAGCATGGCGTGCTTGTTGTGCGCCTCTAGAGAGCTCCTCATAGTCATGTTAGGCATAAATGGCCGTGTATTCTGCATCCTGCACTTACTACGCGGAATTCGAGGCAATTCACAAATAGCGGCAATTGTACAGTGTATTTTCTGCATGGGCAAAAATTTGTGATATGATCTCCCCCACAGTTTTACGTGTGGTGATGGTGGTGATAGTGGTACTCAAACCTTCTCTCCATCTCGTGTGCCGCAGGGCTGGCAGGTCGACTACTGCTCGTGGATGCTCGCGCACTGGTCGGACTGGCTCTTCCAGGCGCCGGCCCTCGTCGTCCTCGGCATCAACTCGGTCTTCCTCATCGTCATCATGTGGGTGAGTACCTTGTACCACCTCGCCACTGAGAAAAATAGTTATAAGTCTTAGGGGATTTTTTTTTTGCATGCATCGTGTCGTAAAATTACAATTTAAAACAGTAAAATTACAAGGTCTATGGTATCGACTTGGAATTCTTCGACCAATGTCGACGTAAATTTACGATCAAGATTGAGGTGTCATACGTCGACATTTTTCACGTGGCTACTGCGGACTCGTCCGTGACGTTTGTCGTCGCTGCACCTTGGCGCTTCCCCCCGCCGCCCGCCGCCACAGGGCGTCGTCGTCGCTCTCTGGCTGGACTGGTTCGCGGGGTCAGGGCCCGTCACACAGGCCGCCGCGGCCCCGCCCGCCCAGTGACCTGCCTTTAACGCCCGGCCCAGCGGCACCATAGCGTTATTGGCAGATTATTATCGGCTCGAACCCCGGCCGCCCTCATTGAAGGGGAAAATAAAGCGCGAGCGTGGCCCGCCGGCCTGGCCCGCCCGGTGAATGGGCGGGGCAGTAT